TGCAAACATCTGTCAGACGAAATGTGTCATGATACAAGAACGAAGGACGCAGTTTTGCTGACCCGGAGACAGACTGGATCACATGTTAGATACTAACTTATAGCTCTCCACAGGAAGGTTGGTCAGGAGCAGGGAGGTGTCCCAACTGTAAATCCCTCTGTGGAGTAGGGAGGTTAAGAGTGGAGGGTGTAACAGTGGAGGGGGTAACAGTAGAGAGGGTAACCCCGGTTTTACACTGCAAGCATCAGCGGAACAGGGCAGCAGCGGAGCGGCTCACTCTCGAACTTCAAAGTGGGCCTTTTCACACCGGGAGAGACTTGGCCGCAGCACGGCTTCCTCGCTGCGCCTCACTGTACTTGCGAGATTCTAAAATCCCTCGAGACTTCCGACACCTTCCTCATCGAGAGATCACAACCCCCGTGCCGCGAGGAATTACACCGTTGCACTTGTCGAAAGAAACTGGTGGTAAACAAAGACGTTCGGTCACACATGCTGATGAAATATATATATATATAACATTGCAACGTTGCATTTTATTTTGAAAATAACTGGGGATTTTACACTGAAACCGTGTGTGGTTTCCTGTTTCGCACTATGTGAACTGTGGAAATTGACATGTCCCAGAAGCGGCTTGCAGAAAAAATAGAACTCGATCCTATCTTTAGCGGCACGGCATGCAGCATCTGAGACACTCCATACACTATAATTGGATTCTATTTGAAGCGGTGCCGCTTCGCTGCTGTTTCGTTCCGCTGATGCTTGCAGTGTGAAACTGGGGTAAGAGTGGAGGGGGTGAGCTCCTTCAGTGGAGGTCTTTGTTCCACAGGGGTGACCGTGGCTCAGCGGTTAGAAGCAGGGCCACCTTAACCAGATCACAGGCCCCAGGGCAGAGCAAAATCTTCCTGCCAGCCGCTAAAAGGGGCGTTTTGGTTTGTAAACTGGAACGCCCTCTTCTTCTTATTTGCTCCTGAAATGTTACTTCACCTTCGATATTTCAAAATACGATATTTTCTAAGCTCATCTATCTGTTCTCCATCTTTTTTATACAGTTATTGAACATCTGTGCTCACCCTGCCCTTTCATTTTGTGTTGCTGGTTCCACGGAGCATGCTTCACGCTCTCCGAACCTAAACCTGCGTTTAAGTCCTGCCTCCTGCTTTATTAAACTGGAAATGGGAGACAGTCAATAAGGCAGGACACAATCTTTTCTCCTCTACTTCGACTGTCTCTTATGAGAAGTGCACCCGAAGCACCGCAACTAGAGAGGAAGGAGCCGGTGGCGTTCAAAATAAAGTGAAATTTAAAGGCTTCATAATATTTAAATTAATTTCAAACTACAATTATGGTTAGTATAAGTGCGCAAATATTGGCTACACTGGTATGTTCAAGTGGAAATACGCAGATTAATTGTGTAGGGGTTACCCAGCACGTAGGGTCCGAACGGCAATGAGCCCGGCTCACCTGAAAGAGGGACAGGCTCCACTATCCTTTAACTTACAAACCCATGGGGAACACGATGAAATATATAGTTTAACACACGATTGTCAAATAAAAAACAAGGAAACAAAACAAAGAGCTTGAAAAGGAAAATGTCGGTATATTTAATTGAATTCAATAAAATCAGCAATGTTCGAAGGTTGAAAAAGGAAGTCCTACCTGTTTAATGTGGGATTTGAATGACATGTCCTGGTCAAAGATAACACCAAGGTTCCTTACTTTGTTCTCGGAGACTAATTTAATGCCATTCAGGTCAGGTGACTAAGCAATTTCCTTTTCTGAATTTCAGTTCCAAAGAAGAGAACTACAGTCTTGTCTAGATTTAAAAGCAGAAAGTTTTGTCATCCAATTTTTTTATGTCTTCAAGACAAGTCTGTAATCTACTTAATCGATCATGTTCATCAGGGTTAATGGATAGATATAACTGACTATCGTCAGCATAACAGTGGAAGTTTATCCCATGCTGTCTAATGATTTTACCAATTGGAAGCATTCATTTATTTAGTAAAAAGAATATCTCCAAGCACTGAGCCCTGTGGTACTCCACAAGTAACCCTGGAGTATGAAAAACATTAGTCATGTACATTTACAAAATGAAAATCAGCATCCTTAAAATCCAGTGGTATGTATCCATTTACTAAGGATAGATTGGTTATATCTAGAATGGGGGCAGTATCCTGTCACGGTCTGCCCTGCTCACTATTCATTTCACTCAATACACAGCAGTTGTCCCAGTTCTGTGTTAACAGGTGGGCATGTCCGAGAGCCAGCTGTTCTTGATCTCTCTGAACAGAGGGCCCGGGGTACTTAAGGAACAGTGTGACACAACTCCAGTGCCGGTTGATACTCGCATCTTGGGTAAACACTAGCCAGTCGCAGTCTAGTTTGATATTCAGTTTTAATCCTGTCTGCCCGTTCCAGTTCAGCCGTGATCTACTGAGTCCTGAAGGTTCCTGCTCGTCTGTTCACAGGAATCACCCACCGCCATCTGGAGTTGTTAATCCAACATCACATCCCTCACCGTCCCCCTGGTCTCCTCACTCTCTGCCGCCCGCCTGTCGTCCTGTCCGCTTCCCAGCCTGCCTAACCACCAGCCTCCGGACCTGCATCATAACCTGCCTCACTGTCTGCCTCACAACCCATTTCCTCATCCCGTCCTGGATCCTTATTCTCTGCTGCTTGTCTGTCCCCACCTGGCCCCAAAGACCCAGCCCTGCCTCACCAAGACCGATCATCTCCAGTAAGAATAGCTCTCCAAACAATTCCAGTTCTGGTTCTCTGGTTCCAGGGTTTCGTGATTCTAACACCAGTTTGCTTTCCCGTTCTAGATCTTGATCCCTCCTGTTCCCGTTTGGAGCAGCATTTTCAGTTTCACATCGTTCTTAATAAATATTATTTGTTATTCACTTACCATCATTTCCATCTGTGATTCTTTCATGTCCTGGGTAAAACATATTCCCAACATGACAGAATCGACCGGCCAAAAGTCCACCCCATGGAAGAATTACTTCTGCCAACCGTCACTAACACTCTAGCCAAACATGAAGGATCCATATAAGCCATCCTTGACCAATTGTCCTCCACTACGCAGCGCCTGTTCCAGCTTGACTCAGCGCTTCGCCAGATTAATGACGCGTTCAGAACCACACCTCCTCCTCCACAGGTCAGTCCCCGTCTGAGATCTCCTTGGGGTACCAGCCCCCTCTGTTTCCCTCGGACTCTGCTTCTCCCTTCACTGTGCCTCAGTTCCTCCACAGGGCCAGACGCACCTGGAATCAAACCCGTACGGCTCTACAACGTACGGCAGATCGTAATCGCAGGATTGCGGATCGACACCGGCGTCCGGCCCCTGCCTACACCCCAGGAGACTTGGTTTGGCTCTCCTCCTGTGATACCAAGTTCCAGGACTCCTCCAGGAAGTTCTCTACCCGTTGCCTTGGTCCTTTCCCCATCGCTGCTGTCCTCAGTCCTGTCTCTTTCCACCTGACCTTACCCCCGTCTATGAAGGTACACCCTGTGTTTCATGTCTCGTTGCTCAAACCCGTTGTCTCCAGCCCCCCTGTGTCCTCCTGCCGACCCTCCTACGCCGGTCTGCCTTGATGATGGTGGTCTCGGTTACCGGGTCCACCGCATCTTGGAAGTCCGGCCACGTGGTCGTGTTCACCAGTTCCTTGTGGACTGGGAGGGGTATGGCCCAGAACACCGTCAATGGGTCCCGGGGTCCTGGATAGACAACGTCTCCCTCATCCGGGACTTTGAGGCTTCCCGTTGTGCCTCCTCCTCCGCCTCCTCTGCTAGGCCACCCGGTGGTGTCCCTTGGGGTGGGGGTGGGGGTGGGGTGGGGTGGGGGGGTGGTACTGTCACGGTCTGCCCTGGGTCACTATTCATTTCACTCAATACACTGCAGTTGTTCCAGTTCTGTGTTAACAGGTGGGCATGTCGGAGAGCCAGCTGTTCCTGATCTCCCTGATCAGAGGGCCAGGGGTACTTAAAGAGCGGGTCAATTGAGTCTCGGAGTCCTTCTCCACCCACTTATCAATTTTTAAAAATGCAACATTAGTAGGCGTTGCCTGGAGGACCGAGAGGGCGGAGCCGCGGCAGTGACGAAGACGACGGCTAACTAGACGATGCTAGCTCCCTTCACTCTATGCAGTTATTAGAAGTGGAGGATGTTTCTCCCCCTCCTTACCCAGACACTCGAGAAGAAAGGGACCAAGTCTATTTGGAGACAAGCGGACCTGAGCCTTATTGTTGTGAGCTTGTGAGTTGCCTGTAACTCCCAGAACCGACCCAACAGAACCACCTCTGAACGTAAGTAGCCGTTAGCCATAGCATTGGATTAGCTGCAGGGTTTGTCTCCACGGCCCTAGAGCTAGTATTCAGCATGTTTTAGAGGTTTATCTGCTTCAGCACACCTGGTTTTAATCAGCAACAAATAGCTGAGCTGCTTAACAGTTAATCTAACCTGTTAAAGCAGGAAAATCCACTGAAACGTGCTGGATAGCAGCTCTCCGGTAGCCCTGGGCTCAAGTTACAGTCTGCTGCATAAAGTTATGAAAATACCCCATGAGAAAATTATTCTGTAATGTGTTCAGCTCACTAAAACTGCCCTGATTTATTTATTTACTGATAACAGCTGCTCTCTTGGTTCTAGGTCCTCTGGTGTCTGCAGCTGGTCTCTGGTGTCTGCAGCTGGTCTCCTCTGCTGGTGTCGTCAGGATCAGGAGCTTCCAGAAGAATGCGCCTTTCAATGACTCTTTCCCCCTTATTTGTTATATTAATTAAATAAATCTCAATTTATATATTTCCTGTTTTTGTTCATGTCCATAAATACTTAAACATGCTTGAAATTAAAACGAGCTTTTAACAGTGAGGTGCTAGTTTAATTCATCACAATAGAGCTAGTTAAACATGCATTGCGATAATTCAATTAATGTAATTTATAAATATCCATTAAAATATCAAAACTGGAATCTATATGAGATATTTGGCAGCACAAAAAAAACTTGTCAAACACAATATTTATTATAATAATAGTAGGCAGACAAGAGACAGAGCTGATGGAGGTTCTCAGTCATCAAAGGAAGGCTGAAGGCTTTCCAGGAACAGGAGATGTGGTGTTGTCTCTTCTCTCTCTATTCTGCCAGATGAGCTGATAGGTTACAGGTGTGTGAGGACATCATCATGCTGTCATAACCAGATGACAGGAGTTATCAGGTGATCAGCCAGGCTAATGAGATGCAGAAAGAAAACAAATTCAGGACAGTGTACAATATGTGGTGTTGCTCACCTTATGTGCTCTTATAGAGTATTAACGTGTGCCTGCCTCATGGTGTAGAGTCCATATTTTGCTGAGTGTCCTGCAATAATGCAGGTTATTAGTTAATTTACTTTTGATAGCAAAAACAAAATATTTAATGTAAAAGTTGTTTTCCAGGTGAATCAGCTCACACGTCACCACCAAGTGTCACGGGGGCAGAATCAGTAGCCTCCGTCATGATGTAACCACATACTTATTTAATTGTTAATATCTTAAAAATTCTGAAACGTTTTAATTTTTTTTACCTTGAACAGTTCACTGAGCTTGCACTGTCACTGAGGTGGAAGCTGGAATCAACAGCAGACACCTCACACCTTGGTCTTTTCAGGGGGTGTGGCCGCTGCTCTGGGACTTTCTGGAAGATGAATTTTCATCATGGTCCCCGTGGGTCACCAGACACACTGCGGCTGTGAACTCCATTCTGGCTGGCTATGTAAAAACAAAGAAGCAGCACATTTATAAATGTTTAAAAGAGCATAAAATCACGTGTAACAATAATCTGTAAAACAAATTAAAACTAGAAGGTAATAATAAAATGTTTACATAGAAGAGTATTAAAAATAATTCACCTTTGCCACGGGTAAGGCTTCACGTCAGCCTGGACAAGTGCATTCTTGCAGCTAATTCAGTCTGACAGCCAGTATCTTGGGTAGATTTAGCCTGAAAAAAATATATAAGCACATTGTTGTTGGGAGTTTATAAAGTCAGATAATATACAAAAGAATCTCCCATATAGGCGCTTTATAACATTCCTAGTGTGTGATCATTATAACGTAAAAGTCAGTCACATATGATGTGGAGAGCCTGAAATGTGACCTCCTGAACAGAATTCCTCACAGAACCTGTTCACAAGCTGGATTTCACGCTGTAATGCTGTCTGTCAAGTGCTGCGTCAGTTAGAGCCACTGTTGCAGAATTGCCGACTGACTAGCTAAAGGAAGTGAACCACGTCTCTCAGACTTTGCATTTAGGTAGGGAATTGCCTTTAGAAGATGTTAAAATGTTTATTTAGCGTACTCACCTCAGACTGGAGCCCGCCGTGGTGGGGGAGCAGAGTCGGTGGGCTGCATCTAAATCGCGGAAGAGCCACGGTGGGCAGCCTCCCTCTTCAAACGGAGACGTGCAGAATCATGGGTAAAATGCCCACAGAGTCACCGCAAGCATACTACACTACCAATACTAAGACGATATGGAGCACTAAACCCGAAATACTTTCCCAATTACACTAACAGCCAAACACTAACTAAACTACAATATCCAACAGCCAAATCTAACACCAAATAAGTATTTATAACACTAAAAGATATGCTAAGACTAGGATATGCTAATGCTATATGCTAATGCTGAACTACTGCTGACCTCCTACGCTCGCTTGCAAATCCAACTCCCAACTCGCCACAGGGCGTGGCCGAGACGCTCGTTGCTTTTATAACTTTGGCACGGAGCTGCTACGTAGTACTCTACTGGTTTACGTAGTACTTTACTCTTTAGCCATTGGCTAAAATTTATTCAAAATGACTCAAATTCTATGTTTTCAGCTGAAGGTGGCGCATTACTGTGGTTTGTTGTTGTTCAGGCAGGCCACAGGCTGCAGCGAGCATTTAACAAATCCTAGTTTGAATCAGTATAAAACGATTCAAGGACTTTTTTTGAACCATCTGAACATTCGTTTCAATATTTCAGCTCTATTAGCTCTGTTAGCAATTAGTTGACCGAATTTAACCATTAAAATCCCAGTTAACGGGTTCAAAAAATGGAAAACATGCATCATGAGAGCGTACATACCTTTATCTTTCTCCTCTTTTTATTCCTGAATCGGGCACCTGGTGGTTTTAGCCTTTTTATGTTCATCTCTTCTGTTTGGCTCTTGACTCAGTAAGTTTCCTTTAGTCAGGACTAAACAATTTGACCTTGATGGGGGGGGGGGGGGGGGGGGGGGGGCACAAAATTGTTCTGTTTTTCCTTTTTTTATTCAGCCATTTCACACAATTCAGAAAAACCTGAAAGAATGATAGGCCTGTGTTTATGATATTATGAATGAAATGTGCGTTAAATGGAAGAACATCAAGATGTGACTGACTTTAGTCATGTTAATACAGTTGATTCAGCCCCTACCCGCTCATTTCATTTGGGAAAGACCCAGAGGTGAATTCCCCCACCGCGCCCCTCCCCTTCTTCTTCTTCATACACACATGGGCTGTGTCTCAATTCAGGGTCTGCATCCTTCGAAGGACCCAGCCCACCCCGCCGACGTGGGCTGGGTCCTCCGTCGGCCGGGTAGACCGGATGTTAACGGCTGTGAATTTGGAAAGGCCTAGCCTTCATGAATTCCCGCCTCTCCCTCGGCGAACGTTCCGTCGCCTAGCGACCGTGGAACCGCTGAGCAGAAGGGAGAAGGAACTTTAAACGATGGAGCTCGAAGTTTTATTTAGATCTTTAATCATTTCCTTGACTGTTGGAGAGCTAATTCGGAGAAAATACTTTCGACTAGCTGAGCCTGAGCAAAGATGTGATAATAGTTTTTAATACTTTCTAACGGTCTTAAGTTGACCAAAACCGATTTATCACCTTTTAAGACTTTAAGACCCAGCGGATACCCTCTAGTAAACAATTCTCATTTGTAAACCAAAATCAAATTCAAGAGTTTAATGCAGAACTGATTTTATTTAGATATTTATTTTATATGTACATGTTTAATCTTTCTTAACCATTTTTTCTAGCAAAGTAAAAAGCTGTCAAAGTTCTCCCTTCTCTAAGTTGCCCTCTGCTGCTCTGCCTCCCTCTGCAGCCTCATGTCCTCCCTGATCAGCTCCAGAAGCTGGTCATCGCTGTCACCTTCCCCTGGATGCCCATTTTCTCCAGAATAGTCTTAACAAACATGTATGAAAAGAAGCAGGTAGAGAAAAGAGGACAACGGGTTATTCCTTTCATGTTTCGCAGAAAAAAATAAACTCAAACGAGTTTTTAAAATATGAGATGTTATTGTACCTCCATGCCACAGCCGCCGAACACTTTGCTCCAGTGATCATGTGGTCCATCTCCGCCCTAAGCTTAATAAAGTCCCTGGTTTTCTCTTTTGTCCCTAAAATACAAACTTCTATTAAAATCAGGGGGAAACGTAGCGGGAGAAGTACGACACCTAGCGGCCGAACATACGAGCCGAGACCGCAATACAAGCACTTTTACTGTAACATTTCTAACTAAATGATGATTCAAGATGGTGCCGAGTATGGCTGCCTCGTCGCGAGCTCCACCAAGCAACAGCTGTTTTTTGTGTTTACTACTTTTTCGACCACTGCTACACCTCTTTCCGAGATGCGTACAAAGCCCTCCCCCACACCCCATTCGGCCAATCAGATCACCGCTCCATCCTGCTTATACCTGCCTACAGACAGAAGCTAAAACAGGAAGCTCCAACCATGAGGGCGGTGCATCGTTGGTCAGACCAATCGGAGTCTGCGCTGCAGGATTGTTTTGATCGGGCGGACTGGGAAATGTTTCACGCGGCTGCTAGAGACATTGATGAGTACACAGACTCAGTCTGCGGATTTATCAGGAAATGTGTGGAAGATGTTGTCCCATCCAGAACAGTTAAATCCTTCCCGAATCAAAAACCCTGGATTAATGGAGGTGTGCGAACGGCGCTGGCAGCGCGGAGCACCGCCTTTGCATCCGCGAACACATCAGACTACAAACACGCACATTACCAACTCCGGAAGATGATCAAAGCAGCCAAATGTGAGTACAGAGACAGGGTGGATCAACAGTTTGACAACCCCCGGAGTATGTGGCAGGGACTAAACACAATCACAGACTTTAGAGGGAGAACCAGCACACCGCAGACCACGGCCTCTCTGTGTGAGGATCTAAACGCATTCTATGCCTGATTCGACACAGCGAACACCATGAGACCGGACAGTGAGCGCACCGCGGATGACGTCAGTGCGCACACTGTGTCTGAAGAGGATGTGCGGAGGTGCTTCAGGAGGTTGAAAGCACGCAAAGCTACTGGTCCGGACGGTATTCCCGGCCGCGTCCTAAGGTCACGCGCGGGTCAGCTGGCTGGAGTGTTTACACACATCTTCAACCTTTCCCTCTCTCTGTCTGTAGTCCCAGCCTGCTTCAAAATGGCCACCATTGTCCCTGTACCCAAATCCTCTACCATCTCCACATTGAATGACTGGCGACCTGTAGCCCTGACACCCATCGTGAGCAAATGCTTCGAGAAGTTGGTCAGGGACTTCATCTGCTCTGCACTGCCCGATTCACTGGACCCTCTACAGTTTGCATACCGCCACAACAGGTCCACTGATGATGCCATAGCCCTGACACTTCATGCTGCCCTGTCACACCTGGAGAAAAAGGACGCGTATGTGAGAATGCTGTTTGTAGATTACAGCTCAGCATTCAACACCATTGTTTCCTCGAAGCTGGACAGGAAACTGCAGGATCTAGGACTGAGCAGCTCCCTCTGCAGCTGGATCCTTAACTTTCTGTCTGACAGATGCCGGGTGGTCAGACTGGGCGGCACCACCTCATCCCCCGTCACACTGAACACTGGTGCTCCGCAGGGGTGTGTGCTGAGCCCTCTCCTGTACTCACTCTACACCTACGACTGCACGGCCACGAGAAACTCCAACACCATTGTGAAGTATGCGGACGACACCACAGTGGTAGGTCTCATCACCAACGACGATGAGACAGCCTACAGGGAGGAGATCAGCGCCCTGACCCACTGGTGTCAGGACAACAGTCTCACCCTCAACGTCACAAAGACAAAGGAGATGATAGTGGACTTCCGGAGGTGCAGAGGAATACACCCCCCATCACCATCAATGGCGACGCTGTGGAGAGGGTGAGCAGTTTCCGTTTCCTTGGAGTTCATCAGGCAGAGGATCTTACGTGGTCAGTGCACACGGAAAATACAGTGAAGAAGGCACAGCAGCGCCTCTTCTTTCTCAGAAGACTGAAAAGATTTGGCGTGAGCCACCGCATCCTCAGGACCTTCTATCGCTGTGCCATTGAGAGTATCCTCACTGGATGCATCTCCGCCTGGTATGGCAACAGCACCGCTTACAACCGCAAAGCTCTCCAGAGAGTAGTGCGGTGTGCAGAAAGGATTATTGGAGGTGAGCTTCCCTCCCTCCAGGACATCTATAAGAAGCGGTGCCTGAGGAAAGCGGGGAGGATCATCAAGGACTCAAGTCACCCCAGCCATAAACTGTTCAGACTACTTCCATCAGGAAGGAGGTTCTGCAGCATCCGGTCCAGAACCAGCAGACTGACAGACAGCTTTTTCCATCAGGCCATCAGACTGCTGAACACGGCACAGACACCTCACCCTCACTACTGAAACTCCAACATTACACATTCCATACTGTACATTAATGCCACTGTTTTGCACATACCAACCTCTGTACATTTTATATCTCTTATCTTATTGTTTACTTTATTCATTTGTATACTTAGATTAGCCATTTTTAAATTT